CAGATTGACATGGACGTGGAAGAGCAGGACGAGTATGCGATCATCTCGGAAATGGAAAAGCCAACAATTTTCGCTGTTCAAACGCTCGCCGATGAATTGAAAACATGTGAAATAAAGAAACAGTCTCAAGAAACTGTTGGAAATATGCAAACAAAGAAAAAAAGACGATCAAGATGGGATGTCAAGCCATCAGAAGTTGTGAAGCTTGAAAATTCTACTAAGCCGACAGCGAACGGAATCGATCAGGCTCCGAGTACGGAAAATGATGCTAACAAGAGGAAATGTTCTGAAAGCGGGGAAGAAAAGCCTTATGTAAATAAAGAAATTGCGGAGAAACTTAACGACATGAAGATCGAAGAAAGCACCAAAGAAAACGACAAATGTTGCGTGATGTTCGAAACAGAAACTTATCAAAATAATAGCAACAGTGGAATAGCACTTCAGTGTGATTTATGTATCGCTGAGCCTCTCAAAAAATCTTCGGATGCAAGTGCTAGCACCGCTCCTCCAGAACCAGGAACTCCGGAAAAGAAGCATGATGCGGAGGCGAACAGCACCGAAGCTCGGTCGGTGAAGCCCAGAGTAGTCATGAAATGGATGTGCACGGTGACAAAAAAAGATCTCCCAACAGCAAGCACGAATGAGCTTTGGGAATCGGAGACTGAGGCAAGCGCATCAGGGGAAAAGCAGTCTGAGGAGTCCGAGTCGTCGACTACAAAAACTTTTTCGGTCACAAAAAGTACTGATAGGCATTCAAAAGAAACTGGAGAAAGTCTTGTTCAGGCGAGTGTTTCTCGATTGCAGCAGCATTCGGAGACCACGCTGCACACATCAGGAGAAAGCAGCTCCGGAAATCAGCGAGCAAAGACGCAGTCTTCGCCCACGAAATCTTCCTTAGCCGCAAAATGTAGTAGTAGCGAGTCGGAAGAACCTGAAACAATTGAAAATCATTCGTGTATTCAGACAGGGCAAGTTCAGTGTCAGAAAGGCAGTCGTCGGTCGCAGGAAGATCAATGCCAGATTTTTCCTGAGCCACAGCAAAAGCAAATACAGCACAAGGCAGCTACTCCTCAACCAGAAGAAACTGATGTCGAGCCAGTTAGCTGTCTACAGCCACAGGCTTCTGAGTACGAGAAAACTGTTCCCGAGCAGCCGTCCATTCAGTTGCAGACTGATATTTCATCTAGCGAAGAGCAGGAGCGGTTAAATGAAGCA